TTCTTTTGTGGTGTTTTTATCGATTTACAAAACGCTTTTGATACCGTTGACCATAGTATTTTTATTTCTAAATTAAAACATTATGGAATTTGCGGCATTGTAAATAATTGATATCGATCTTATCTTTTAGGTCAAAAAAAAATTGTAAGTATTAATGGCTTCAATTTTAGTAATAAAACAGTTTTGTGTGGTGTTCCTCAAGGTTTTGTTCTAGGTCCTCTTTTATTTTTAATCTACGTTAACGACCTAACCAACTCTGTTCACTACTCGTCAGTTCATCTGTTTGCTGATGATACAAATTTCTTGCACATCAATAAATCGTATTATTCTTTATGTAAAAATGTTAATTCGGACCTAAAAGGTGTAGTTGACTGGTTAAATGCTAACCTAATATATCTTAACACTGAAAAAACTGAACTTTTTTTTCATCTCCGAGAAAAAACTATTTCTTTAAAAATGTTGAAATCAAAATCAAAATTAAAAATAAACGGCTATATCCTTTGAGAGTTATTAAATATCTTGGTGTGTTAATTGACTGCAATCTTTCATGGAACTTTGTCATTAATGAACTAAGCAAAAAACTAATCTTGAGCTAACAGTATGCTTTCAATAATTCGTCATTATGTCGATAAAGTTACACCTAAGAATATTTACTATTCTCATTCTCATCTCATCTTAGCTATTGTTGTCAAGTTTGGGGTCAACTTGGAAACTATTGCATTAACAAGTTACTATCGTCTCGGCGTCAATCCATTAGATTAATAAACTTCCAACCAATTAAATCAGATACATCGGAGTCCTCCAAAAAACTTTTCATTCCAACACTTCCAGCGCTAGTAAAGTATACTGATTTTTTTTTTTTTCCTTAAATAAAAACTTACCATCTTCCATTACAAACTTGTTAACAGAAAGTACATTCCTACTCTACAAGAAATATATACAATGGAAAACTAAATGTACCATCTTTTAACACCTAGAAGTATGGTAAACATTCTATTATTTATGAGCGCGTCTGTGAATGGAATAGGAGTCTTGTATGCATTTTGAATGAGTCCAAAAAACTACATCCTAAAATAAAATATTTAAAAAAAAAATCAATTTTGAAAAAATCTGAAAAGCATTTTTGGTTACGTAATCAATCCAGTTAAATCAGTTAAATTGTTAGGAGTAACCATTAATTGGCATCTTACATTTGGTCCTCATAAGGATAAAGTTTTAAAAAAATGTCATAGCACCTTGGGAGTTTTTTTGAAAGCTATTCGGTACCTAACTCGGAACCTTCTGAGATTGGCATTATTGTATCATTAGTAAGATCTCAGCTTAAGCATCCTTGTGTAATTCTCTTATATGCATCACCATCACAGTTAAAAAAACTAGACATAGTTCAAAAAATTGCTTCCACGAATTATTTACGCAGCAAATCTAGATGCTCATTCAGTCCCTCTTCTTACTGAATTAAAACTTGACTTATAAAAAGTTAGAAAAGAAAAGCTGAACTTGATTGTTATATTTGGAGATCGTACTGAGGGGAAAATCATAAAGAAATCTGCTCTTGTTTTTAAAATTGGTTAGAGACGATTTGTTGTAATTGGCCGTCAGATATTGAATAATAGATTACCAAACTGAGAGTGAAATACAAAGTTACAAAAACAACAACAATTCGAAGAACGCAAGAAGGATCGGTTAATTAAACGCGGAAGAAGGATTGGTTAATTAAACGCGAAGGAGGATCGGTTAATTAAACTTGTAAATAAAACTCTTAACTTAATATCGGTATCCAGCTCTTATTGAGTATAAAAAAGAACACATTTTTTGTTCAATTTGATGTAAACATAATACCATTGTATTGCATATATATATATATATATATATATATATATATATATATATATATATATATATATATATATATATATATATATATATATATATATATATATATATATATATATATATATACGTTAAGTAATGTTTGTTATAAAACTTTGGAATGAGAACTTCATGTTGACAACCTCGCACACATTTAAATAACTTCTTTTACATTTTCATTTTAAAGTTTGATAAGGATGAGTCAGTTCAAAACTCGTCACGGCCCTTTTGCCAGGATGTAATTAATACAAGAAACTTAACAACAAGTTTTATGTTTTTTAGGTCATCTCCCTCTAACCAGGCTTATGTACCCATAATAAGAGTAAAGAACGCTTGAATACCTACAATAAAAGAAAGAGTTCCTGGAATTATTATTTGGTATATTTTATAGTCATATCTTCTGATAAGGATTTTTTTTAAAAAGTATTTAAAAAAAAAAAACGGTTTAAGAATTTGAAAAGCAGCTGCTAACAGCTGTTTCATTGTTTTTTAAATTCAAACAAAAGTTTACATTTTTTATCTAAGCACAATTATAGTAAATATTTTAAACCCTAAAATATGTTTTGAAAATACTCTTTCAACATCTATAGATGTGGGCTTAATTTTTAATGCATTAAAGGTTTCTAGTTGATTCAATAATCATTACACTAAATGGTCGAGATGACAACTGCATAAATTTTTTTTATAAATTTGTCTTCAAAATATATTGTATCTCTGGATGGATTATTGTCAAATTTGTCAGGCTGCGCAATAAATTCATTACACCTGTTTTCCAATGTTCATTAATTCAAAGTCTCAAGTTATCCATTAACTTCTCGCTAATTTTACTGATTATTATAGAAAGTTTCTAAAACATGAATGTTAACACTGTGTCAACGCTCAACAGTATTGAGCTGCGATTCTCTACAGCTAGTAGAGAATCGCAGTCTCTAATAAATCAATCAGTCAATCTCTAATAAATCTTTTAAAGCATTAAAGTCTGCATTATCTACTAAATTTAAATCTGCCTTCAATTTTTATTTTTTTATTTTTGCTTTAGTTGCCCTAAAAAGACCTAACGGTCTTATCACAGAGCACCGCGGAAGAGCTTAACAAAGAACTATAAAATATACCGATGGCGCGATATATGTCTAGAGCTCACTTCGAACCCTGGATCTTTTACTTCTAAAGCAAGCGCTCTAACCACTGCACCACGGCTGTTAAATTCTATATAAATTCTGATAACTTTCTTGAGTTACTTTTTATGCCCTAATATGAATGGCTGAAGCATTGTCGGGACTGTGTTTGATTTAGTTTTATTTTCATCAAAATAAAGCTCATTTTTTGTCCACAAAATAGTGTTGACTTTAATTTGAAAAACATGATTTCGAACCGTTGACATAAGTCATGGTAGTTATCTTCACACTTCTCATTTATACTTTCAAAATACTTCAAAACTTTGTCAAAAGTTTTAACTTTGTTTTTATTAACATTATCCACCTTAAAACAAAATATTTTAAACTTTATTTACCTCTATTAACTAATTTATAGGACTTTAAGTTTTGTAAAGTTAGGATACAGTTGTTCGTAAGCTCATCAAATTTTAAAGCATTTAATGACACTTGGTTTAAGAATGAAAAAAAGAACTTCGATCTACTTTATTTAAAAAAATTGTTAAAATGAAATTTTCGTAAACAAAAACACAAACTCATTATAATTTAAAGTAAAGTGTATATAATATAATAAAAAAACAATTTGTAACAACTAAACAACAATTTTTTTTGTTAAACTTATTAGTCCATAATTTGTACTTTATATATAAACATATATAATACAAACATACAAAATGCATACATACAAAATACTAACATATAAAATCTGAACGTTTAAAATATAGAACATATAAAAACTAAAAAAACGGTTATTTGAAAACAGTTTGGCGAAGAAACAATGTTCAAAAAATTGTTGCTTGCTATTATTACAACTTTAAAATAATAACTGTGGTAGAAACGATAAATAGAACAATTAGAAGTGAAGTGTTATTGGCTTAGTTTTTAAACTTTTTATGTCATTTAAAGCATTTTAATTAAATACTAACAAAATTATATCTCTTCAGAAAATACTGTCTGAGTTTCGGAATATATATGTATACATATATATATATATATATATATATATATATATATATATATATATATATATATATATATATATATATATATATATATATATATATATATATATATATATATATATATATATATTATATATATATATATATATATATATATATATATATATATATATATATATATATATAAAACTAATTATTGAACGGATATATTTATATTTAATTAATTGTTTAACGTGCCTAATAAAAAATAAATTTTTAAAAAAGTTATATGATCGAAAGGTCTGCTTTTTAATTAGATTTTAAAATAAGCTCGTGTACTTTTAGAAATGTTTGTATGCTACGTCAGATAAGTCTGTTTATTGGCATTTTTATGATGTCCGCCAAAGCTAAACTCAATAAATAAGTCATACAAATTTGCTTTAAAAAACCGACTTTAAAACATATTATCAACAAAAAGATTAGTTGATACCACTTAAATGGACAGGAAAGAAAAAATGAATTTATTGGATAGTTTGTTAATCGTTAATAATTTTGTTTAGATCGCTGTGGGAAACCTAGTAGTATACAAAGATTAATCAGAAAATTTTGATTAATAACACGATGGCTTGCAAGTAAGTATAATTCGAATGTAATTAGTTTCTAATTATGTCGACATGATAATAGTTGTTACTTTTGTTTTCTTTTTTTATTTTCTAGATTATAAAGTTAATAATACTATTATTATTATTTACTGTCTATTTATTCTTTTAACAATGTTAAAAATTTTTAGAAACGATTTTATTTTTTGTTATTTTTTTTTTATAATCGCTGCAATCAATCGCTCAATAAAAAAAGCGGAAAGTAAACAAAACATTTTAACTAAAAAACATCAACAAAAGAAAACTTTTCATAGATTTAATTGAAACTTAATGCAAATTTATGGATTGCATCCTGATAAACGCATGTAAAACGTTTGCTAACTTTCTTCACGTACGTGTTATATGTTTCTTTTATAAAAAGTTATAACAAAAACATTATCACTTTTAATATTATTATTATTATTATTATTATTATTAATGTTGATTGTTTTTGTTCTTTTATTTATAAATCTTAAAACACACATTGTCATCCATTTGTAAACATCCTTGAAACAACTCAACTCAAATCTATGATTGATTTGCTATATATAGTAAAAATAACTTATTGTATTGAAATCCCAAGTTATAGAAGCGTGAATGTCTTAAGTGTCAAGAATAAACATTTATTTCATAAAACAAAGAAAATTAGCTATCATTAATAAAATTTTGAGTTTGATATATTATGTGACAGTTGATATATTTAATACATATTATGTGACAGGTGATATATTATGTGAAAAGTTTGATATATTATGAGACCATTTCCAAACAACGAACATTTTTAAAACTTTGTTTTTGAAGAGCTGTATACAGATCACATTTTCAATTAAGAGGTCACATTTTTAATTAGGTAATTACTTCTTTGTTTTTTAAAAATAATCATTAATTTCTGTATAGTTACAAAGTGTAAAATCCATAAATGTTCAACTTTCTGATGATATATATATATATATATATATATATATATATATATATATATATATACATATATATATATATATATATATATATATATATATATATATATATATATATATATATATATATATATATATATATATATATATATATATATATATATATATATATATATATATATATATATATATATATATATATATATATATATAAATCACCAATATTTAAGAATATTGACATAAGTACAAAAGAGCAATATGTCAATATTAGTATATGTACGTTTTAAAGACGTTTTAGTCGTAATTCATATTGATTGGCTTTTAGTACATTTGTATGAACAATTTTTTTCAATCAACCCATCTCTAGAGATCGAAAAAGTTTATAACGTTCTTAAAATTAATATACATATTTTTTCAATATAATTTAGATAAATTACAAAACGTTTAAATTTTTATACAATTCAAGTATGGTTGGTTTTATTATTCTTTGCTTTATCTTTTTTTGACAATTTTTCGAAAACTTGTTCTTTATTATATTTAGTAATTAAACTTTATACTACATATATTGTTTTAACAATAATTTTATTTTGCACACTCACATGTTATATTTTAGCACATGCGGAATCAATAATCAAAGATAATGGAGCTTACCTATAGACTTTTATTTTCTGTTGGTATTGTGACATTAATTTTTCTTGCATTGGTTGGCAATGCCCTTGTTTGCCTCGCTGTTTACTTTTCACGAAACTTACGCTCGCGCGTAAATTACATCATTGTATCACTTGCCGTAACAGATTTGTTGATAGCATCGATAGCAATGCCTCTTTGGTTAATGTTTGAGATGACTCATTTTGAAAATTTGTCACCCAATGCTCTCGCTAAAGTTGTAGGTTTTTGGAATTTTATTGATATGCTTGGAGGCATCACGTCAATCGCTAACCTAGTAGCCATAAGTTGTGAACGACTCTGGTCAGTGTGGTACCCATTACATCATCGCCGTAACATGACAAATAAAACCGCCGGCTTCATTATCTTATCAGTTTGGATTTACGGTATATTTGTAGCAGTTTTAACAGCATGTTTAAGCAATTGGAATTCTTTTCCAATTTTTTGTTCAGTGATGGGTTTTTTTCTCCCGTTGTTACTTATAATAGGTGCCTATGTCATAATAGCAGTTATTGTTAAAAAAACATCGCGAAACGTTATCTCTAATCGAGAAAACATTCGAATAAATATCGCAATAATTGTAATTGTGCTCTTGTTTGTAATTTGTTGGACTCCTTATTTTATTGCTTTGCTGCTATCTTACTATAGTGACAGTTTTTATGAATTTTTATTAGAAAACCTGTGGCTTCGATCCCTTTTAAAGTTTTTGCATTATTCCAACAGCTGTGTAAACCCTGTTGTCTATGTAATAGCAAATGCGCAATACAAAGATGGCTTTAAAATTGTTATTCAAACTGGTTTTAAATGTTGTTTCAAGAAAGAAATAAATGCTTCTCAGATGAGTACGGGTCATTTACTTATTAGAGGTCCATCTTTTTCTAAAAACAGTAAAACAATAATCAATTGCTCCTCAAAAAGCAAAAAACAAATTTTTATAAACAAAAAACGACCAAAATCTGATGCAGAGACGCTATGTGGCCCTCTTACGCTTGAAGATAAAGGATCAGAATTCTTCCACAATGATTGTATTTATCAAACCGACGAATACCCGCCGAATGATTATTGTATAGAGCCAGGATTTACCCTGAAAACTGATTACTTAAGTGATCCTGAATCTTTTAAAGAAATACAAATGTCCTTAACCAGAACCAGTTACATTTAGTCCTGATAGTTAAATCAAATTAAAACACTTATAAGTGTTTAATTTGTTTAACTATTTAATTTTTTTAAACTAAAGACACTGGATACCTGAAAACTTAATTTAAAAAACCTATATGTAAACTTAAACAATTATTTAAATGTTATGAATTTATAACAAGTATTAAGTTATTTATACAGAAAATTATAAATTATTTATCTAAGACTAATAAAAATATTAATCTTGTTGAAACAAAATTCCACAAACATTTTTTTCAAGAAAGGGATTGTCCATAAAGCACGTACGCTCGGATGGGCGAAGGGAGCCTGCAAAGGGCTTATATGAGATGAGGGGCAGGAGGTCAGTTATTATATCTCCTTAATTGAAAGTAAGGATATTCTTAAACTTTAAAAAATATAATAAAATGTTGGTAGGTTGAAAGCGTATGTACTTTTAAGGAGATGTAAGGTACTCAAAAAACCGTTAAGCAAAATGCGGTAAGGGGGGGGGGGGGAGGGTCAAAATAAAAGCGTTCGTACTTTATGGACGACTTTAAAGCAATCATTAGTTTTAAAGGATTCCTCCGCCTCTTTCTCTTATCTTATTCCTAGGCTCCCTCTACTTCTAGAAGCCAAATTCCACAAACATTTTCCATTAAATTTATAAAAAAAATTTATTTACAACTTACTAAAATAAAATTTATTTTAGCGTTTAAAGCTATTTTTTACACTTATATTTAGTTGATATTTTTTATATTATTATTTATTTTTAGAATCTTAGGCCTAAAACCAAAAAAAAAGGGCAAAAATTTCTTGAGCAAAAATATCAATTAGGGTATTAATTTGTCAGGTATTAATTAAGGTATTCTACTAATCTGTTGTTGTATAACTCTCAGTTGTTTATATTGTTGTTAATGTTGTACTAAGTAAACACATACTTCGTTTACGAAGTATGTGTTATAGTAAACGTGAATATATTAACAGAATTACAAAATACACTCATGTCCTAATTTTTTTAGCTTCTTTTTTCTTTAAATATAATATATAACACATATATGTTGCATGCTTTGCATAATACTTTCGTACTGTCCGACAGTATTCTTATTAGCAACGGAGGTTGCAAATTTTAAAGCAGAATACTAAAGAAAAATAAATAGATGCGTACTAATGGCAATAAGCATGCCTCAATTTTCTTTTTATTACCAGGTTTGTAGTGCAACGGTTGCATGAGACATGTCATGTTTAGCTATTTAGAAGCAAAAAGGCATATGTAAATGGTTAATTATGAATCATTACCAAACATTAAACATTAAAAATTACCTATTAGTAAACCAGCAATAATGCTCAGTAATAAAATATTAAGTGCATAGGATATATCAACTCCCAGAACAACCAAATATGTTTAGTATGATGTTTTATATAACTTATAAATTATTATAAATAAAAAATAATTATATTATAAATTATATTATAAACTATAATAAATATAAAATAATACAAATAAAAAATTTTGTGTTGAGTTATAAAAAGACAATCCTACTGTGTCACAAAATAAATTTGGATTTTATTATTAAAATTAATTTGTAATAGTAGATCTTCCGTTTGTTTTTTTTTTTAAATGTCTTTTCTTATTTTTCTCTGAATTTACTAATTCAGAGAAAAATAAGAAAAATTCTAAAACTGTTAGAATAACTATCCAATATCTATTCTTGTCATAATTAAACAACTTGCAAGTAAAAATGAAAGTACTTTATTGGGTAAACATCAAGTTACACATAAATAAATAATGAAATAAAAAATTTTAAAACCCGAAGATCAATGTAATCAATCAATGTAAAAAATCAATTAAATTTTTTATAAGTATTAACTTTTGTACGTAAGTATTTACGGTGCACAAAATTTTTTAGGTTGTGTCAGAAAAGTGCATAACTGATCGATACAGGCGCAAATGATTTTTTTTTTTAGTTAAATAAGATATAAAAATTAATCATAAAGTTGTTAAAACTTTTTTCTTTTTTTCTTTTTGTAAACTTAATATAGAGATTTGATTAAGTTTTTTTATAATAAGTTAAAAACGTCGTTGTTTTTTTTATAATAAGTTAAAAACGTCGTTGTTTTTTTTATAATAAGTTAAAAACGTCGTTGTTTTTTTTATAATAAGTTAAAAACGTCGTTGTTTTTTTTATAATAAGTTAAAAACGTCGTTGTTTTTTTTATAATAAGTTAAAAACGTCGTTGTTTTTTTTTTAATAAGTTAAAAACGTCGATGTTTTAGAATCATTAAACATGTTTATTTAAAAACGTCGTTGTTTTAGAATCATTAAACATGTTTATTTAAAAACGTCGTTGTTTTTTTTATAATAAGTTAAAAACGTCGTTGTTTTAGAATCATTAAACATGTTTATTTAAAACATTGTTTAATGATTAAACTTGCAAAAGTGGTGGGAACATCAAGAGACAACTTAATAAATTCTACTCTCACATCAGGAGAGGGAAAAAAAAGAAAGGGGGGAATACTTAAAATACTTGCTATTCATAGGAGCACAAAAAGAGCGTCTTTCTACCAAAGAAACAGACACAAGTTTATCGCTGTTATTTTATTTTTATTTTTTTTCGGTAAAAAAATATTATGGACGGTGAATTAATTTTTTTTGAATAATTTTAAATAATTTCAAATAACAATTAAATCAAAAAAAAAGTAAAATGTTTTCTATTTAAAATTATAAAATCGTTTGTTTTTTTTTACTTGTATTTTACTTTCTGTAACAAATTTGAATTTCTCTGATTAACAGGGAAAATTTCAAACCAGTTTAAAATGATTAACGCCAGGCTAAAAAAATTTCATTTAAATGTTTGTAGTTGATAGCATATGGTGCATTATATAAATAGCTGTGTGAGACAATATAAATAGTTGTGTGTGAGACAATAAAAAAAAGAAATAATGAGTGATGGTATAAAAAAATGTGTTCAAAGTTTAAAATTAGATTTTAAGTTTTTATTAGGTGTACCAAGAAGACCTACCAGTCTTGTCACAGAGCACAGCAGATTAACTGGTATTAAACATAAAAAAACATTTGATACCTAAACTAAACATTAGTTGGTATGGATGTTTTTGACCTTGTTTTATTGGGTTATTTTTTAATATACCTTTATAGAGAAATCAAGTTCTAATAGAATAACCAAAGGTTAAATATTAGCGCATGCGTCTTAAAGTAAATTAACGTCTTAAAGTAAATTAACCTTTGCACGAGTAAATATTACTTATACCAAGCAGTTTTACTTATAAGTATTTTTAAGATATATTTACTCACTATTCTGATAGATGAGTAAATTTATCTTAAGATTATCTTATTTCAAATAATATTTACTTATAATTGAAAAATTAAGTAAATTAATCTTCATACAAATAAATACTACTAATATTGAGAAACCGAAAAATAAGCAAACATTTTATAAATTAAAAAAAAAAAGAACAGTCTTTAAATGTATTGGCTGTTTCAAGCTTCTCAACATCTTTAATATAATTAATTCTCATTATACATTATCTGAGCTAGACGATATTTTGTCTGACTTTTTTTCCCCGCGGAAATGATCACTTCCTAAAAAAAGTCACTTCCCAAACTTCGCGCATTTAAAGTCAGACAAAATATCGTCTATATCTGAGCAAGATTTTATAAGCTTAGAGTGCGTTTATAAATATTAAAGAAAAATTATTTCATTAATGGAATAACTAAAACAAATAAAGAATGCAGTTTTAAAACAGCTAATTACCCAGTTAAACACTCATATATTTTTATTAAACTTTTGCAATTTATCATATTCATATTTTTTTATAAAAAAAAACTTCCAACAAGCGCATACATGTAATACCTAAACTGTAGTCTACTATCTCATCACTCACTAATGTTGTTAAAAAATATATATTCTACAATTAGAGTATAACGTAATTATGTAACATCGAAGATTAATACGTATTATAATTTTTTTTTTCCTCTCTAGTTGAAAGTTTTATATTATCACTCAAAATTAGCCAATCCCATAATTTTTTTTCGACAACCAATTTGTATGCGGAGTGGCTTATGAGTGGTTTGGAGGTCATATTTATATAAAAAAAAAATTTATTTTATCTTGATAGAAGTATTCGCGCTGATTGTTCAAAGTTACGTTTTTTTAAAGATTTTTGTCTAAATCTAGAGCAATTTCCAAACATTGGCGCAAACAGATGATGTCAAATCAGTTAGTTTGTTCAACAAAATCTGATGTCAAATCCAGTTAGTTTGTTCAACAATATTTTCTTGATGTGTTCCTGTACCAAAAAAAACACTGTGCTTATTAATTTAAGAAATATGTTGTACCTATCTTTCAATGATTACGATAGATAATTAACACTTTGGCTATTGTAAAGTAATTTTTGTTGATCTTTAAGCTTTTTACCAGTCTTACGACAAACTTTATGATTTTTAACTCATTTTGGTATCAAATGATGTTTTTTTAAAAGTACTGTTACTGGAACCTTGGATCAAACAAATACAAATACAAATTGATTTCCTTAAAAGATTGGGTAAAGGACGTTCAATAGTTTTAAACTAAACTAGATCAAAACGTATCAATGTGGTTTAAAAATATATATACACATTTTTTCTGTGGTTATTTTAGGTGCTCCAAGAAGGCCTAATGGTTGCATTAAAGAGCACCGGAGAAGAGCATTTAACTTAGAGGTTTTACGCTTTATGTCGAACTTAAAGGTTTTACGCTTTATGTCGAATAAAAGCCTAGAGTAGACATCAAACCACTGATCTGTGAATGATCCAACATTTTTTGTTGTTTGAGATAGTTATCAGACATAGCGCAAACTCCAAACATTTGTATGTTTATGCTTATTGATTTTCACTGTCAAGTATACATGGTGCTTCATTTGAGTGAGGCTTAGATTTCTTATTTTTCGTCAATGTATTGCGAATTGTTTAGATTTCTTTATAAGAAAAGCCCCTTTTTTTTCACCAGATAGTCCCATATTCATATTCTCCAACAACTTTTTTTGCTCTTTCATTTTCTTTCTCAATCTGTGCCTTCTTCACACTTTCCTTTGATTCAACTTGGTTTTTGAATAAAGAATTTGTAGCAACTACAGAACCACTCGTTTACGACACTCGTTTA